TTCATACTATCTAAACCTGTGCTGGTTGACCATGTTTTTCACTCTGTTCTTCTGCCCTTAGTAGCCTTGTAGAGAGAAAATGGCTTTGAAATTAGAGCATAGCAGACCGCTTACATTTTGGAAATCACCAGAGAGGCTCAATGACCGCCAAGTCTCAGCTCCAGAACTGGAGTGGGGCAGTGAGACAGCATCTTAGGATATTCAAGGTGTGTTCAGGTGGCCACTGTGAGTTTACTTGGTGCCTCTCACAGCTGAAAGATCAGAAACCAGGGCAGGCTTTCCTGTCGTGTGGGCCTGTGTGAGATGAACCAGCATGTACCCTCAATTCTCAAGCATGATTTTGTATAAGCTCACTTAGAAAAAAAAAACTTTCTGAAATACGGAGTACATAACAATGTGACAAAAGCCTCATTTCTGCCCCCTTGTCATTTCCTGTTCCCTCTCAATAAGAAGCTCACCTGTGTGTGTGTCCTTACAATTTTTCTTTGTCATAGGCACATTTTATAACTTTTGTCTTAAAGTTCTTCTTAATTTCTCTTTTAGGCTCCTCATGAATTGTCAATAGTACAACTCCTCAGGTGGAGACCATTAGGCAGAATCAAGTGAAGGGTGGGATGCTGGCAAAACCCCCAGTAGCCAGGAGCTTTGACTTTGGGGTCTTCTGATCATTCTGGAGCCCAGTGATTTGGGGAAGGAGTTTAGAGGACTTTGCGTGGAGTGTCAGGTTTCTGGTATAATTTCAAAATGTTTCATTGAATGCAGCATAGAGATCTTCTCAAGGGAGTGCTCTTTTGTTAATTTTAGGAATAAGGATGCAGTTCCCAATGAGTAGAAAAATTCCAGGTCAAGGCAAAAGCCTTGGGCACTCTAAATAGGGATAGGCTGAGGTGGAGACAGACCCGGTTTAAACTCCGGGACTTCAATGAGCCTTGAGCTCCTCCATCTACTGAAGTTCCTGTGGCCAGGACTGAGAAAGCCATGGTGTCTTATTTTCATTGGTGGAGGGGAAGATGGTGTTGATGTCCAGGATGATCCAGCCACCAGGCTTTTGGACATCTCCTATGGGGACCGGAACTGTCCCATGCACTGGGGGAGAGTTGCCTCCTTGTCCCCCACCCCTAGCTGTGTCAGGTTCTCTGCTATTGGTGCTATTGGTAGAGGGGGGCAGTTGGAAGACTGGCCTAAGGCCTGAGCAAAGTCTTCCATAAGGACTGGCCAACCTGGGAAGTCTGGTACATTGGGGGATTGTGGAGGGGAGTCTACAGAAGTATGAATCTTGCCCTGGTTGTGACAGGCAAGGCCTCAGCTGGATGTTCATCTCTTATTCAGGAAGAGTTAAGGGATGCCCAACAAAGGAGTTAAGAAGTAGAAAATAGCTGGGTGTAATGACATACACCTGTAATCCCAGCACCCAAGAACCTGAGGCAGGAAGATCGCTGTCAGTTCAAGGCCAGCCAGGGGCTACACAGTTTAAGTCCAGCCTGGACTACATAGCAAGACCCTGTCTCAAAAAAAAAAAAGCAGAAATTATTATCCATAAGAATATGCTTGATAAACACATTTAGTCTGAATGTATTTGAGTATGTTCATTGAATAATAATTTTGCCGATTTGGAGGCTGTTGAGCTTATCATAGCCTGAATGTGTCTGCTGTAAGTGATCTTGATTTTTAGGGGTAAAGTACAGTATGCCCCCTGCCCCTGACCCAGGAATCTGCCCTGCAAGGAAAGAGTAAGAGGCTCCCTTCTGTGGGTTAGAGTTCTGGCCTCCTCAGCTTCCTGAGGGTACCAGCATAAACTGGCTGAATCTTTTTCCATATTACAGTTGCCTAGAGCCAGTCGAGCTGCCTTTAAGTAGAAGTCAGTCTGTAGACATGACATGCCCCAAACAATCAAGAACTATATAGAAAAGTTGCCTAAAATTGCATAGTAAAAGTAGTGTGACAAAATTAGTGTGCCAGATGACCAGGGCCACAGTAGGGTTCCATAGTCAGTTTCCCTAACCATTTTGTAAGCTGAATATAGAAAGGTGTCGGAAGCAATTCTACATAATTTTGGGGGAAAATCATGATTAGGGCCTACTTTTCCTGTCTATAGGCCAGGTACAGGCATGTCGAGACATAATTCCATCTTCGCCTTACAGCTAAGACTTCAAAGGTCCTATGATACCCCTACAGCAGGACTACACCAACTGGAGACATTCTGGGAGGAACCAAATCTTCATCTGCGTAGCTCCTCATTGTTTAGGATTTCTGCTGCTCCCTGAGTGTCTGTTACATTTGTTTCTCCCTATGTAGAACTCTATCCAGAGACATTTGTTACATTTGTTTCTCCCAGTGTACTGAATAAAGATGTGGCAAGCTCTGGGGGCTTCTGTCTTTGCTGCCCAGAGCAGCATGGATCAGGCCAAAACTCAGCCTCTCTGTCTCATTTTCTGTCTATATATGAATTGATTTGCCTTGTGCTGTCACGGCTCACAGGAGACTAGGACCTGATGCAGAAGTTCTAGTAACATCCCCTTTCCCTGTTTCCTACAGAAGGGGAAACCTAGATTTTATTTCTTAGGGAGTTTATGTCCATCAGAAGGAGCGGGTGTAAGGGAACATATGATGATTAGTCAGGGAAATTGAGTTCCCAGCAACCTATGACATTTCACTTCCTTCTTCCTTCTCCATGGAGCCTGATGGGGAAATGAATGAGAATGATTCAGGGCAGATGGAAGAGAGGACTGGTTTCCTTCCCTCCCTGCCAGATGTGTCTGGACACCCTCCTGCCTTGCCTTCCTTCTCTGCCCACCTCAGGAATTCCTACTCCTGGGAACACAGAAGCCAGAATGTGCAGCAAATTCTGCGTGAAGCCCAGGAGAGCCAAGAATGGACGAGCCAAGAAATCTGTGCTCAGGGAGGCTCAGGTCTTGATGTGGGAGCCAAAGAAACAAGAAGTACACAGCCAAGCTAAGAGCTTGTTCTCTAGTTAGAATATGAATGCTGTTCTTCGGTTTATTAGGACAAATGTGAAGCAAAAGTGCAGTTTCAGGTTGATGGGCAAGTAGGTCCTGCAAAGAGTTACAGGCAGTTATTGGGGCAGGAGCGTTTCAAATAAATAGAGAAGCTTTAAAGGGGGAGATGGTTCTGTTAATGCCTGGCACAAGTGGGGGTAGGGGGCAGAGGAAGAAGGGCTTCGGAAGGCTTGGGTGTGGGTGGCCGGTCAGAGAGGCCCATGGACATTAGGATGATGGGCGTGTGATCTTGACCATTGCTTCTGCCTCCTCTCCATCCCTCCCTGTTGGGCCTGGACAGTGCAGGAGCCTGAAGGTGAAGCTGAGGGAAGTCAAGGGCTACCAGGGAGAAGAGCTGGGTCAAGACTGTGGCCCCACCACCAAAACCATATGTGAAGGGCAGCCCTGCCTCACCAGGTGCCAGGTGGGAGAGCAGAGGTATTGGGGGGAGGTTGTTGGCTGCTCTGCAGAGGTGGAAGAGGTAGCTTGAAGCTGGGTGCATTTCAGGATGAGATTTGGCTAGCTTCTGTTCCCAGGGGAGAGCTGTAGTGACAGCTTCAGCCAACTGTTCCCAGGGCTGAGAGTGACGCTGTGCTCCCACTGGTAGTAGGGAAGTTTTGCTGCAGGACCTGCCCACTGCGTGTGCGCGCACACACACAAGCTTACACAAAAAGCCTGGGGTTGTTTTCTACACAGCTATTTCCTCTATCCCCACTCCATACTGCTGCTGTTTTACAGTTTCTGCCCCCCGTACGCAGTCTCATCCCTTCCTCTACGACAGTCTCCTCAGGCTTCTGAAGGCCAGTAATTTGACTCAGAATACACAGGTGGGGAAACCACAGGCCTGAAAGGTGAGGGGCGCTGGGAAGGAGTGGAAGCCTGGATTGCTCCCCAGTGAGGCTTACACTGTGGGCGGGACCACTTCGATCTCAGGGGACACCAGCTACTACACTTCAATCTCCTCTCCTAACAGACAGTAAATCCTCCCTGGATGTGAGCTCAGACTAGGCAATAGAGGTTACCCTGCAATAAGGTGAGGGGGTTAATGTGTAAGCAGGAGAGGGTAGGAAATATGTGGATTTTGGTGTTGAAAGTGGACATTGTGGGTGGTGAAATCCATGCCCAACTGCCCTGTCCCTCTGTAAAGAACAGGACCTCATGAGGTTTCTATTTCAAATTTCTCATTTATTTTGACATTCACTTGGTTGTGACTCCAAGTTATCAAAGATGGGAGACAAGAAATCTGCAGCAGCAGTAGTGACGTGGAGATGGAAAAAGATAGCAGAGAGGATTGGGTGTTCCCCAGCCCCTCTTCCTCCTCTTCCTGTTTAGGGTTCAGTTTGAAGAGTGTACAAATAGTGTCTCATAGTGCAGTCTCCACAGCTAAAAGGATAGTGCAGTTTGGTGGAGTGAACTCCTCTTCCTCAGAGCAGGCTTTTGCAGCTATAGTGAGGCCATCTTGAGCCCAGGTTGGAGCTTGTGCCCTGAACGAGAACTATGTGGGGAGGGGCTATGGCTTGCCTTCTAACACACTGGACCCAGATTTTGACTGTTAACAGCAGTTAGGCTGGGGAAACAATGGCATGGGATGCTTTATACTCTGGGACCCCACTAAGAAGTAGGTGATAGTTAACTGGGTTGTCCTGATTTTCCCAGTGGCAGAAGATGCAATGATGGTGGTGTTATTCTTGGTGAGGAAGGCCATGGGTTGTTTGGTAGATTGGCTGTGGAATCGCATGGGGACAAGACACTGGGCTGGTTGTCAGGAATAAGGAGGGCTGCCAGGCCCGGCAGCTCATCAAGGGTTGCACATGGCCCAGGAAGGACTGGCAGTGGGATAGGTAGGTTAAAGCCGCTGACCCAAGTTGCTCCTTTGCACTGGGAGACAGATCTCAACCTGCTGAAAGCTGCTTCCTGGTACAAGATCAGTGCAACATCTGAGGTCACTCAATAGGGGGTCAAACAGGCTGCTTTTCACTAGCAATTAAAATAATTTTGCTTTGTAATCTTTTTGTTTTTTGCAGTCTTTCATCTCTCAGTGAACATTCATGTACACAGGATCAGACACCTGGGAGTACTAGCATCTGCTAGGATGAGGGCAAGAGCGAGTGGCCTGGATGGCAGATCTTTTTAGGAGCTCCTCACTTCATGAAGCACTAAAGACCCTTAGAGTCTGTCTGGGCAAGAGAAAGTGGAGTCTCAGAGAAGATTAGGGACTGGTCCTAGAGCTAATGAGTGACCAAAATGTGGCCAGAACTCAGGTCATCTCTTCTCAACTCACTGTGCATTAATTCTAGGTTACAATTAATTCCAAACAGAGTGATGTAAAAAGTGAGCATTCCCTTCTCTGCCCCACTCCCTCGGCTACTCTCTCCCCTGTGTCAAATGCAAAAATCAAGATTTTGGCAGAAAGCCCAGCCCCTTTTCTGTGCCATCCTCTACAACATTTAGTGGAGTCGGGGTTAGCTATGCCGTAGAAGTGGGGGAACAGCCATAATCCACTGCAAGAAGGCATCTGAAAACTCAAGCATACATACTTACTTAAAAAGCATAAGGCCACTGCTGGGTTATAAGCAGGAATGGGGAGTAGAGTAAGACAGCAATAAAGAGCCATTCTTGGAGACAAGGGGGTGTCTGCAGAAAGCAGAAGCAGGAAATCCAACCGCGAAGACATAGCCGATCCTCAGGAATCCCTCTCCCCGTGCCTAGGAGTCAGGGCTCTTGGTCCCAGTGTGGTAAAGTGTATTCTGCTCCACAGTGTCACAGGTGGATGTCTCAGGAGAGCACCAGTCTCTAGAGGAGGTTGTTGGGGCAGCTTCAACCACTGCAACATTGTTGGTAGGGACTCCAGGCTCTTTCTGTACCAGCTGGCTGGTTGACACGGGGATTTACTACCTTAATCACCTCTTGTTCTTGCTGCTTGGGGGTCAGATCTTTCTTTCTAGCTGGTACCCCTGGACCCTTCCACTCTGCAGCTCTTGAAAATGACAAATCCTGGTGATTGGTTTACATGTATGTGTGCACACCTGGGAATGGGATTGTACTCAGCATGGTGGACCATGGCCTGAAACAATAAGCAAGATCTCTTTAGCTAAGCCCTTGAACTCTAGTAACAAAACTTCACAAAGCTTCTCCAGCAGGGGCAACTGGTTCCTAAGGGAACTTAAAGGGTTTGGGAGAGACAAATTTAGACAGACACTTGATACAGTCCCCACTAATAACCATACACCACGGCCTTTTTAAAGTCAACTCGATATGTTCCAGGAGGAGGGGGCAGATGCAGATGTGATGTGTTCAGTAATCAGAATCCCTACTGGAGCAGCCACAGTGACAATACTATGATAACCAAAGTACAAAACTAAATTATAAATTAGCTCTTGGATGCATTTTAGCAAGCAAGTCCCAAGGAAGTCCTATTTACATACCTTCCCCCCTCAAATTCTAGACTATGTAGCCCTCACTTCTCTCTTAGCTCTTTATCCCTTTTTCTTGTAGGCATGGGCACTTCATCTCCCAAGGACTCTGGAGGTCTCTGGAGCCTTTGCTTAGCTTTCTCTGGTGCTTCTAATTGGCTCTGCAAGGCCAGAGATTTGGGCCTCCTGGAAGGGGTTGTGGTGGCACTAGGGCAATGGGAGAGAAGTCCCAACAGAGAAACTGGTGAAGTTGCAAAATCAGTCAGTAAATTAGCCCCACCTTTGGGCTCTGGGTTGGAGCCAGCCCCAACCCTGGTTTTCCATGCATTTAATAGCTCAAATTCTGGTGAACCCTCTGCGATGGAGCAAGAAAAGCCAAAGAAACAGAGCTAGTCCTTGCAGGGCTATTGGAGAGTCACCCACTGTCCCCATGGCTCCTGCTGGGGCAGCAGTGTTGGTGTGTGTGCAGGTTGGGGTGAAATGGTTACACGTCTGTACTAATAGCCCTTGGATTAGTGAAGGCCTCACGCCCAGAGCCTGGCCAAGTCACCGGGTAACTCTGGGGCACTGCCAGTTTGAGGGAGGGAGGTCCCCCCTCTTTGTAGTACGTGGGAGCAAAGGACAGCCTCTCGCCTCCACCCCCATTGGGCACCATGTCAGCCGTCCGTATATAAAAGGGGGAGCTGTATGGAGAACAGGTGGTGCAGTGGCTCCCTGCCACCCCACACGGCTGGCTACAGGGCTCGCTGGTAAGAGGCACCAGGCTGCCTCTGTCGTCCAGGGCTTGGGAAGTGCAGGCGTTACAGGTGGGGCCTCTGGGATGGGCTGGAAGGCCGCGCTCCTCCTCTTCCTCCTCCTCCTCATCTGCATCCTCAGTGCTCTTCTTGCAGCAGTAGTACTGCGGGGAGGAGACAGGGACGTCTGAGAGACTGTGTATGCTTCCCCTGACCCACACCCCAGTGTACTTCTGAGTTGCACAGGTACCCATAACCCTTGCTCCACTAAATATCTTTGGCTGGGCTCTTTATTGGTGCCAGGGATAAAACTAAACCCCAAAGGCCTACGTTCCCCAAGTATATACTCCCTGCTTGGTAAGGTTTGCAAGGCCAATTCTTCACCTTTTCTTACCCCATATTTCTCAGTGAACTAACTCCAAGCCATGCTTGAGGAGGGGTAGGGAGGCAGAGAGGGGAGGAACATGCACACCATATTGAGAACAGGGCTGGGGCTTCTGGAAGCAACATTAGTGTCTCCCCAGAATGGTGGCTTTCCACCACTCCCAAAACCTTGGAGGTGAGCACACAGTCCAGTATCTTCTTGGTGCATTCTCCGTGTGTCCCGAAGGTGCAGGGTGTGCAGGGGACCCACTACTTCCTTCTGACCACCACCAACTCCTTGGCTTACAACTCCTACCTTCTGTGGCTTTGTGGGCCCCAAAGTGAGTCTCCAGTTTGCGCCCCTATAATGAAGCGGTTTGCTGGCGGCCTGGCAGCCTCTGGCTACAGGCCTAGGGGACTGACCTGGAGCCTACAGTAGCACAGGACAGCGATGATGCAGAGGAGGATCACTGTAGCTAGGATTCCGCCAGTAATCACAACTGTTCCCGCTGTCATCCGCCCGATGCCCCATCAAACTCTGCAAAGAGGTATGCGGAGGGGTGAGGAGCAGCACTGAGGTGCAGCTAGAGCAGGGGGACCTGAGAATAGCAGGAGCTGGGGCGCTCTGGCCCGCAAGGACTTTCTGAAGACTGAGGACTGGCTGTGGCTGAGGCCTGGCCCGCCTAAGCCACGGTGGAGTCAGGGTCTATACCTGCCAGAAGGAAGGGAGGCGGAAGAGTGCTAATTCTGCTCCCTGTTTCTGTCAGTGTCAAAGGCTCTTGTTGCTTTTCTCCCATAGTCTTCTTCTCACCCTTTCCTCTCTCCTTATGTCTTTCTTGTTCTCTCCCATCCCAAGGTGCCAAAACAGAGAATACAATGGTACCTTGGTTCACAAACTTAATTCTTTCTACAATTCTGGTTGCACACTGAATTGGATAAGAACCCAGATTCAGTGGTTAGGTTCAATGTTGACCTTATGGGGAAATTTGATTCAGTCCTCATCCAATTTGGTTTGTGACCAGAATTTTTGTAAGAATTAAATTTGTGAACTGAGGCACCACTCTAATAGAATGCTAGCCTCTGCGGACTGTGGGCTTCACCTGCACCAGCCATTGTGCTAGCACTCACACCCCTGTGTCCTCTCACGAATCATCACAATAATCTTTTGGGATAGCCACAAATTGCCCTATTCTACTCAGAAAGAACTGAGGCTTTGATGAATTTGGCTGGTATCCCACCTATCCTGTTTTTTTACTCAGTCTGGTTCCTCCCAAAGGCTCTTTATCACTGTTCTCCTAGGCACACACACCAGTGGTCCCCAATGTAGTGGAACTTGACATAAGAGCATCCATCTTGGAAGAAACGTAAGGACATCTGAGTGCCTGGCAAGCCAGTCGTCTCAGGATAAGAAGTGCAAGCAATTCTTGTTTGTCCCTTGTAAGTCTCCCAAGAGGATGTAGACAAAGTAAAAGATGTTTTTCAAGGGGTTAGGAGGACAAAGTAAAACATAAAGTAGTTTTTGTGAACACAGCTGGCCAAAATATTACATAACTTCAGATATAAGATAAAATGCTAAAAACATGCTTTTCGTCTGATGCTCTGAATAGTTTTAATAAGTATTGCAGTTGTGATCATGAGGCTGCTCTGTTTGCCTGGGAGAGTTGCAGTCCTCTGATCCTGCTCCCCACATCTTGCCTCTCTTCATGTTGCGTCACCGAGACACTCGGGGAATCGGCGACATCCCCAAGCCCTTGGCCCCAGCTACAGGGCCCAGGACCCAAAACTCAGAAACTCTGCCTGGTTCTGACCTGCTTCACATGTGCATTCCTTTAGTAGTGTCTTTCCTCTCCTTCAAATCCTCATAGAAAATAGCCTCTTGGCTCCTGGAAGGCTGTGGCCAGGCTGGGGACACTGGTTCTAGCTAATGGGGCTGAATGAATGCGACAGAGGCAAGCTCTGGGTGTGAGGCTATCCAGGTCAGTGAATGGGATTTCGGAGCCTCGCAGACACGTGTGGAAAGGACAGTGGGGACTTGGCACCTTGAGCATGGAAGAATGACTGTGAACACATGTTTAGTAAAGGGAGCAGTGACCTAAAAGACAACAGAGAGACAGAGGCTCTGGGAGGAGAGTGTTACCTGCTGAAAAAGGCCTGAAGGGTTAATTTACTCCTTAATCTCCACCCCCCTCATCTTGCTTCCCTCATCAGTTAGCCTGTAGAGTCTGAGTCCAGGCCTCCAGCGGTGTCACCTGCTCCCAAATGGAAATCTCATTTGGACGTCCCACTCTCACCTCAATTAAGACAGGCTGAAGGCGTCACTGGTCTCCAGCTGGGCAACTCACCTCTGAGCTTCCGCATGACCCCAATGAGCTGCCCTGAAGGGCTTTACATGTTCATTCCTCAAAGGGCAAGTGGGAGCTAGGCCTCAGCTGTACCCGCTGCTCAGCAAGCTGTGTACCCTGTGTGTTCACCTGGTGGAAGGGATGCATTTTCCTTCACCTAAAGACATCACCTGTCCATCATTATGCTCCTAAAGGGCTCCATCGATGCAGTGACACTGATCCTAATTCACTCAAAGGTGCTGTGTAGTCTTGCTGCTACTGTGTGCTCTGTGGACCAATAACCCCTGCTTCTGTGCTAGAAACGTGGCATCTCGGAGCCCACCACTGGCCTGAGTTAGAGCCTGCATTTTAACCAGGTCTCTCAGGTTACTCATTTACACATTAGGTGACCAGTTCATACGATGTACCTTAGTTGCTCAGACTTTAAAGTCCTCAAATCCTTGTCTTCTGTTTCCTATGCCAGTTAAGACTATCCCAAGGCTGCACTATGCAATGGCTTCCTAACTAACCTCCTGGTTTTGTGTCTGAGCACCTTTCCACCAAGGTCTGGCTTTTAATCGTGTCCCCATGCCTCTCTATGTGCCAGTGACTTCCTGGATACATTCATGTGGACACAACTTTCAGACACAGCTTTGAAGACTTCACCCTCCCTCACTTCCCTGAATGCTCACCACCAATTTATCTTTCTTTCTACATCTTTCCTTGCCTCCTATACGAAGCTTCTGTTCCAGTTCTTAGGAAGCTTGCAGTTTAGTGATGAAAAGGCACACAGCACACCTCGTAAGACATGCAACCACAGCGCAGACGAGGGCCATGGGTCACTGAGGAGGGGCAACTAATTACTGGGGGAGACATTGCATAGAAGCTGTTATATCTGAGCTGAATCCTACAGCCCAAATAGGAGACAAGGTGGGGAGGGTTTCAGAACTGTAAGGGATCTGGAAATGCTGGGACAGGCCATTGGCATGAAGCTGGAGAGGCTAACAGACAAGGCAGGGAATTGGGCTTTAACCCTCTGGAAGATGGGAGTTCTTGAGGTTTTTTGGTAAGAGAGTGCATAGCATTTCCCCACATGTTCAAGTCCTACCCATCCTCAGAGGCCTGAGAAGCCTCCTTTGATTGCCCCATCCCTGATGCTGTCTCCCAATTCGGACTCTACAATAATGCCTTTCCATGTTCCATTCTTCAAATCCTGGGTTAGTGGGAGGCTAGTGAACTTTTCATGTGGGAATATCTTGACTCCCCTAAATGATAAACCCTTTGAAAACAGGAGTTGTGTCATACACTGTTTCCTTGTCCCAGTAGTAGCATTATACATCATGCTCTGACACACACAAGGTGCTTTAAAGTTGGGTAAGCCATTCATGTGCAGCATGTCGCAGGCCTGATTGACCACAAGGGGGCAGCAAATCATGTTTCTCAGCTCAATCTAGTTTGCAAATTTAACTGTATCTCCGTTAAGACCTTTTGACTGCCTAGATGCATGGTGGGTCATGCTTTGGGGTTCCCTGGGACATCTGGGGGGAGGAAAATGAAACTCAGGTGAGGAAGTTTTTATGTAACTTCATTCCAACGTCATTTCTCCGCTTCCCTGTAAGCTCACCTCTGAGACCTGCTTAGGAGGCAGGGTGGCCTGTAGTGCGAGCTGCAGCTGGGGAGGCTGCAGTGACTCAGCCTATGCCTCTGGGATCTGCCCGGTCTGTTTTAATTTGTATTATTTTAAGGCAGAAAGGTACTGTATATACATACACCGATGCAAAGTAATTTCCTGGACAAATAGGCAAACACCTAAGCACTGTATCCAACTCCCTCCAGCAGAGCACAACCAAGTTGCAAAATTTAAAATTTACAATTAAAAGATAAGGTTAAATATACAAAATCAATTGATGTATATATTTACCTTCAGAACATGCTGATGCTTTGTGTAGTTTTTTTTGCACAGAGAATTCTTTCCCCCAAGGCATATAAGGAGCTCTCCAACAATAGGTCTCTGTTTTATAACAAAATAGCATTTTTTTAAATCTTGGAAAAAATACATTACCTTCACATGGAAGCTCTCATCATTAAATATGCATGAAGTAGACAGACTGGTTTGCATATCCTTCTTGGAATTACAAATAAAGTACATTGGAAGCATTTGAAATATAATAAGCACATATTTATAGAAAGGCTCTGATATAAATTGTATAACAATCATGTTCCTATAATATCCTAGGCTAATTTATAATGCCAGAAATAAGTTAATATGACATGGTTTAAAACTCTGTTTTCCTATTCATTTCAGGTTACAGATTAAAATAAATGAAGTGTCTTCGTAGGGATGGGGGAGCATTGGCCTTGGCAAAAGGTATACAGTAGTACTAAACAGAGGAAACTAAGTCCAGGCTACTGTCCTAGTATGCTACAAACAAACATCTTCATACACTTGAGCATTAAATAAATGTGTGAGATCTTCCACTGACACAAGAATATTAAAACTATCCATTTGTTTCTCCCAACTGTTTTAGAAGACAAGAGGCTGTGTGAGAACACCTCCTTCCTCCCTACCTTCTGGGCCCAGCCTGCCTTTTTTCACACAGAGGCTGGAAATAGCCAGCACGGCAGTGCAGAAGGCTGCAGGCTCAGGTTCAAGCTCAACTGTGCCACTCAATGGTTGCCCCATCTTGGGAACTGCCTTTCTGAAAGTGATATCAACAAGTCAATTTGCAAATATGACTGTGAGGAAAAACTGAAATGTGGGAGAGAGCACCTCTTATAAACTTTAAAAGTCCTTACAAAACATGGGTATTTGTGGGGAAAAAGAAGGCCCTTTAGTGCTGAAGTCTTTTTTTTTTTCTCTCATTGAATTTATTGGTACTTTTTAGGTATACAGTACGGTTACATTCATCATTGAGATCTTAATACCTTTACATGACAGGTCTTGGTTCTCATTTTTTTCCCTTACCCCTGCCCTCCCTTCACCCCCTCCTCCCTTCCCTGTTTACAAAAACTTTTTTCCATTTTTTTATTTTCTCATATTTTTTCTTTTCCCTTATTTCCTTTCCCCTACCCTTCCCACTTCCCCTACACCTTTAGCCCTTTTCTTCCTATTTCACATTGTCAATTATGCCATTAGGATCTTATTTACAATTATATTTTTTCACACCAGAGAAACTATATGGTATTTACCCATGTGTGACTTATTTCACTTAAGAGTATATCCTCAATATGCATCCATTTTCCTATGAATGACTTTAATTTCTCATTCTGTATGGCTGAGTAATATTCCATTTTATAGCAAAACCACATCATCTTTGTCCAGTCTCCAACTGATGGGCAATTGGGCTGTTTCCAAGTTTTAGCTATTACAAACTGTGCCACTATAAACATGGGTGAGCAAATATCACTGTGATATGATTCTTTTAATTCTTTTGGAAAGAAACCCAGCAGAGCGATGGCTGGGTCAAATGGAACATCTAAATCCTAGTTTTTTGAGGTATCCCCATATTGATTTCCATACCGCCTAAGTCTGTTTCAAAATCATAAGCCAGGAAGGCACACATAAAATGTGTAAAATAATCTAGCCCTGTCCAATCCTTTTCCCTGAGGGCTCAGTACTAATAGCATTTAAATCATCACATTCAGGAGCTCACTATTATTTTGGGTGGCTAATTTTGTTTTTGCAGTTAGGTGCAAATGATGACAGTAATTACCTAAACCTGAACAGCATCTTACAGTTTATAATGTATTTCCAATTATTATCCCTCCTGTGGTGGGCAGGCTTTAAGATGGGCCCTGCTCCTTGGCAGTCATCCCCTGTGTTCTTGGTTGGGAGCATTTCTTTATAAATTATGGGGGGGAAAATAATTTCATAATTAAAATATGACTGTAGCTGCCTAAGGCCCAGTGTTGCCCTGCCTGGCTATGGCATGCGGAAACACGACTCCTTTTTGCCTTTGGTCACAGGTGAGGCCTCAAAGGTCTGTGAAGCCGTGCTGTTGCTCAACCCCAAGATGACACCAGCTGAAGACACTCTGGTTCCTTGAGAATCGAATATTAATACAAAAAAGGAAGGTTTCACCTGGGGAGGGACGAGTTCCTTATCGGGCCACTTCATTTCACCTACTGAGGTGGGAATGCTCTCCTTTCCGCCTTTATCAGCATGAGATTTGCATCGGCACAGGATCAGACGTGAGACCACCACCACTCAAGTCACCTGATACCCCCTCCAATTATTGTGTCTTCAATAAATAGTGGCCAGCTCCAGTCTTGGTCTTTGCCTTCTGGGGGGCACCGACCGCCCTGCGCCCCGCCACTCCCCCTGCCCCTATACTTTGAAATGATGCACGGCTCTACTGTCTTTTCTCTTTGGCCCTCTCCGTTCCCCTTTCTAGACAGTCAGAGGAAACTGGCCTCTGATAGAACTCCTCTCTTCTTGAGCGTGTGTATGACTAGTGCGTATATTTTAACTGGAAGAATACAGCACAAGCAATGGGAGATCACTTCTGTGAACAAATACAAGATTCTGCCTTCCCTCTTGCTAGCCAACTTTCTCTTCCTGGCTTTGATGCAGCAAGCCGCTATATTGTAGAGTCCCCTATGACCAGAAATTGAGGGTGGCCTCTGACTAGTTACCAGGTAGAAGCAGAGGCCCTCAGCTCAATGACTTAGAAGGAACTGAACAGTAACATAAGTGAGAGTGGAAGCAAATCTATTTCCATTTGAGTTTTTTGATGAAACTGCACCTTCAGTCCAAACCTGGACTACAGTCCACAAGAGAACGTGATGCAGTAGAATCTGCTCCCCATGCCAGGATTCCTGACACAGAAACTGAGATGATCAGTGTGTATTGTTCAAGCTGCTAAATCTGTTACATAGCAAGAAGTAAGCAATGCACCTGAATCTCACATAAACCCTGCAACACAGGAGGGAAAGCCAGACCATTAAGTGATCTGCTTAAAGTCACAGGAGAGCAAATGTTTGAGTCAGGACCCCAAGGACAGTGCTTTGGAATTCCTGTTATACATGCTGCCTTTTCTCCAGCTGCGATAGCCAGGCCGACTCCATCTTGTGCCTCAATGCCATTTTGTACCTGTGCTTGAACAAAGTGCTTGTACTTGAACAAAGCACCCAAAACCCCTGCATACTTTTGTCAGTAAACCTGCTGCAGTTGCAGGATGTTTTGTAGATCACCCAGTGTGTGTGAAACTTCTTTGTGCCCCTCACTAACTTGGCATGGTTCTGCTTCTGTAAGATTCTGCTTGTTCTCCCCTAAGCCCTCCCCAGCTGCAAGCATGATTTGAAAGGAGAGATCAAACTGCTTCCCATTGCCGAGGAAACTTCTGGGTGCTAGCCCCCCTCGGCTGCCCACTATAACAGAGGGCTGGAATCTGGCACAGAGTGTGGCGCATCTCTATTGTTTGAACTCGCTTGTCCATAACAGTTGGAGGCCCCAGTGAGATGGCCACACCAGGTGGACTGGCCTTGCTGTAATCCCTCCTGTCTGTAGCAGTAAGCTATAGGGGAGGTACCCCTGAGATGTCCCAGGGCCCCACAGTCTCACTGCTTACACTGAAGGGACTGCAGAGATGCCTGAGAAGCCCTCCAAATTTTCTAGAGTCCATCTGGTCTGGCCAGGATCCTTCTGGTTCTAGTGGGGGAACAGTAGTCCTTTTTTTTGTTTTGTTTTGGTTTTTTTTTGTACCAGGGATTGAACTCAGGTCCTTGAACTCGTAAGGCAGGCGGTGGAACCACTGAGCTAAATACCTGGTACAGTAGTCCTTGATGAAGGCATTCCTCAGGCCCCTCCATAAGATCAGGATGCTGACTGAGGTGGCCTTCTGGTCTGCGCTGGTCTGTTCTGGAAGCAAGCCAGCCGATCTGGTAAATCCCTGGCGATAGGGTTGGACTGCCTTTACCCTCTGACTGACTGCTGTGTGAATGCATGAATGGCTGGCAATAGGCAGCACAAATAAGAGACTGTTCCGCCCGCGTCCCACGACAAGGAGGGGATCCCCCCTCGGAGTTATGGGGCTTGTTTGGGGTTGTACTGTGGTTCTGTGGACACATCTAAGAAAAGCCAAGCGGGTGCTCTTGCAAAGAGATAAACCCTAAAGCCTGGACAGTCCTTAAAGTGGCTGTGAGGCTCATGTCCAGTCGACTGCCTGAGTGGTTCCTCCTACCGAGGAACACCCCCTCCCTTCATCATGACCTCGTTCAAGGTGCATCACATAAGCACTAAGGCTCTTTTCTACGTCCAGACATCTTCTCTTTTTATTTGTTCTTGTAGCTCTGGTTAGAGGAGCCTTTGATATCAATACGGGGGTCTTGGTCCTTTCTTTAACCCCCAAACAATCAATGTAGTGTCAGGCCCCTCTAACCAATGACCCTTTTGATATCCTCTCCCTCACACTGCTTTGTCTTCTTTTCTTATTTGTTCTCATGGCTCCTGTTCTTGGGTATCTCCTGCCTGCCCTAAGTCTCTCCACCATAGGGTCCTCATCTTCACAACCTGTTACACCCCTGGTCTGCATGATTAGAAATTTTTCCTCGGGATTTTCTGGTGATTATGGAGTGAAACTGTCATATTTTTGTGAGCTCGAATGGCCCTTCTTTGGTGTGGGCTGGCCCTCCGAGGGCTCCCTGGACCTTGCCATGGTTCAAGCAGTTTGGAAGTTTGTGACTGGGTCACCAGGACACCACAGTCAGTTCCCTGACATTGATTCCTGGTTTACTCTACAGCAGCACGCTCCCCCACGGCTAAAGGCCTATGCTGCAAAAGCCTATTCAAAGATGCTTGTTTCCAAAAGTTGCTCTTCCCCTTGTAGGTGGATTCTGGAGAGACAGAAACCAGTTCCGCAGCAGTCAGATGCTGAGGAAGTCCTCCCCCATCCACCACCATACAACTCTGGTTCACGCCCCTCTCCTGTCTGTCCTGACCAGTCTGCTCCGTTTCTTCTTCTACTTCCCCTGCTATCTCTCCCCCATATGAGAGTATCTCTGACTCCGGCAGGACGTCACTACCCCTGGAAGTTGCAGTCCAGAGATGTTCTTGCCTTTGAGGGAGGGCCCTCTTCCTGATGGGGCAGAACTGGGAACCCACCTGTTCCTGGTATATGTTCCCTCTTCCACTTATGACCTCTACAACTGGAAAACCCAAAATCCATTCTCTGAAAAGACCCAGGTTCTGATTTCCCTGATAGAGTTGATCTTTAGGACTTATCTTCCAACCTGGGATGACTGTCAGCAGTTGTTATTGACCCTGTTCACTGCTGAGGAACAGGACAGGATTAGATTTGAAGCTAGAGAGCTCTTATCAGGGGGAGACTCAGAAGAGGAGACCCAGGAATTACTAAAGCAAGGTTTCCCCTCAGAGCGGCCTACACAGGTCCAAATTCTTCAGTGGGAGGCCAGGGATTTGGCTCAGTAGTTCTGCCACCTGCCTCGCAAGTGCAAGGGCCTGACTTCAATCCCCGTTACCAAAAAAAAAAAAAAAAAATTATGGTCACAAATTCTTCAGGGGGGAGGAAGGCTTTACTCACCTTTCATCAAAACTTGTTAAACATGATTCGAGCAGCAGCTCAGAAACCCCTAAATCTGTCAAAAACCACTGAAGTGACACAAGGACCAGAAGAGGTCCCCCCGCCCCCGCCACCGCATACCTAGAGAGATTCAGAGAGGCCTTCTGGGTTTACACCCTGTTTAACCCCTCTGCTCCAGAAAACAATAGAGCTATAAATTTGGCTTATGTTACTCAGTCTGCACCTAATATTAGGAGAAAATTACAAAAATTGGAGGAATTCCCAGGAATGAACATGTCTCAGCTTTTAGAAGTAACTCAAAAGGTGTTTGACAATAGGGATTCAGAAAAACAAAAGTTGGCTGTTGCCATGGCTGAATGGTTGGCAAAGAAACAAAGATGGCACTCTGCGGGACCCAACCCAAGGAAGCCCAAAGGACAGGAGCTTAGAAAGCCAGGAGGATCCCCACCATTGGTCAGAAATCAATGTGCCTTTTTCAGGGAGGAAGGGCATTGGAAAAATGAATGCCCCTATGGGCCCTCTGCCAAGGTACTGTCTCTTCCTACATTTGCAGGGAAAGAAGATTCAGACTGAGGAGGCTAGGGCTCCTTCTCTCTTGGTCCCCAGGAGCCCATGGTAAATGTTGAAGTAGGTGGCCAATAAGTCCATTTTCTGGTGGACACTTGCACTGAGAGGTCAGTGTTAAAACTCCCCTGAGAAAGTTTTCATCACAAATCATTCCCATCTAGGGGTAACAAGCAGTCCAAAACTTCCCGCTCACAAGTGGGCAGCTGGTGAGCCTGGGATCAAAACAAGTTACTCACTTTTTCAGGTAATACTGGATTGCCCCTTCCTTTTGCTGGGGCAAGACCTCCTTCACAAATTAAAGGCTACCATTTCTTTTACTCCACCTGAGGCTCAGATGTCACTCCTTTCATACCAACTGTCTTTGACCATCACCCTGTCTGAGTAGTATCTTCTCTGGAGAAGAAAACCCTTCTGGAGGAAATAAGCCCTGGGGGCTTATTGGACAGACTTCAGGCAGAGTTCCCAAAGGTGTGGGCAGAAACTAACCCAGCAGGCTTGGCTGCTCACCCTGCTCCAGCGATAGTCAAACTCTTGTCGACTGCAACGCCTGTGTGACTTCGACAATACCCTATAGGCCAGATGGGGGTAGCTACTCATATGAAGACATTGATCGACTTTGGGGTATTAACTCTCTGCAAGTCTCCATGGGACACCCTGATCCTACCTGCACAGAAACCAGGGACATCAGATGACAGACTGGTTCAGGACTTGAGAGACATTAACTGGCAAGTGGTAACTCTCTGTCCTAATGTCCCCAATCCTCCTGAGTTTGCTGTCTCCTGAGCACCAAGTGTATACCGTACCAGATTTAAAGGATGACTTTTTCAGTGTGTCCCTGACCCCAGCTAGCCAGCCTATCTTTGCTTTCAAGTAGACTGATCCAGTGTCCAGCAACTCCTGCCAGCTCACCTGGACCTGGCTGCCTCAAGGATTCAAAAACGCACCCCCCTGTTTGGTGAGGCCCTCCAGAAGGACTTGGTGAGTTTTTGATGCCACCACGCTAACCTTACCCTGCTTCAATATGTGGATGAGGACTGGGGATTTAGCTCAGAGGTGTTGCTGACTGCCTTGTAAGCACAAGGTCCTGAGTTCGATCCCCAGTGCCCCCCCCAAATGTGGATGATTTGTTATTAGCTGCTACTAGCTATTCAGAATACTGAAGGGGATGCAAGAGCATCTTTAGCTATTAGAGGAGTCTTGGCCAAGAAGACACAACTCTGTGGCCCTAATGTATCATACCTGGGGTAAGAAATCTCAGAAGGAAGAAGAACCTTGTTTTAGGCCAAAAAAAAGGGCCATCCTCCAGATAACCACACCAACTACCAAGAAACAGGTATGAGAATTCCTAGGTGCAGCTGGATACTGTCACCTATGGATACCTAGGTTTGCTGAGATAGTGTGGCCCCTCCATTGGGCAGTGGAAGGAAATCAACCCCTAGAACTGGGAATAGATGAAGAAGAAGCCTGTCAGAGTTTGAAAAGAGCTTTGGTATCAGGTCTGGCTCTGGCAGTACCTGATGTTAACAAACCCTTTCATCTATTCATCCATGAGGTAAGAGGGACTGCTAAGGGAGTTCTAACGCAGTCCTTGGGAACTTGAAAGTGCCCTGTGGCCTATCTCTCTAAAAGATTAGACCCTGTGGCCTCAGGATGGCTTTCATGTCTTCTGGTGGTAGCTGCCACAGCCTTATTGGTCAAGAAGGCTGACAAGTTGACCCTTGGACAGGACCTAGTCCTAACTGCCCCTCACTCAGTAGAGACTCTGCTCAGGGGGGCCATTAACAGATGGATGTCAAATGCCCACCTCACTCAGTATCAAAGCCTCTTGCTCGACTAGCCTCACATAATCTTCTCAGCAGGACAGGTTCTGAATCCAGCTAAACTGATGCCAGATGATCACCCTGACATCCCAGTTCACAACTGTGAGGAGCTGCTGGACCAGACCCAGGGGACCGATTGAACTTCTCAGACACCCCCTTGGTTGAGGCAGATGCCACCTTCTACATAGATGGAAGCAGCATGGTGGTAAGTGGCATATGGAGGGTGGGAGCTACAGTAACTACAGTTGATCAGGTCATCTAGGTCCAGCCTCTGCCCGAGGGGTCCGTGGCCCAAAAGGCAGAACTGATTGCCTTGGCCCAGACCTTGACATGGGGAAAGGAAAAGAAGATAAATGTGTACACTGACAGTAGGTATGCCTTTGCTACTGTACATGTCCGCGTGAGCATCTACAAGGAGAGAGGGCTTCTGACAGCTGCAGGAAAGACTGTCAAAAATGAAGAGATATTGTCTCTCCTAGAGGTGCTATGGCTTCCCAAGAAGGTGGCTGTCATTCATGTACAGGTTCACCAAAAGGACAAATCAAATCGAAGACCACGCAGCCAGAGAGGCAGCCCTGAGGCCAGCTGAACCCTTAGTCATTCTGCCTCCCTCGAGTCCTCCTCCAATCTTTGGTCCCCACTAGCTGCACTTACAATGAAGCAGATGATAAAGAAGCAAGCTGGCTGCAAGCAAAGAAAGATTCTCAAGGCTAATGGAAATGTCCAGATGGTCCCATCTACCTCCCTCAGGCATTAGGACGACAGCTCACCCAGCAGCTGCATTTGGTTATGCACCTGGGGGCCTCCAAGATGGCTGAGCTTCTAGCTCCAAGATACTGCTTTTCAAAGCCGCAAGAGCTGGCCTGCCAGGCCTCTCTCTTAGGTGCCCAACCTGTGTATAAGTAAATCCCCACCAGGGCCCATCTGCACCCCTTGAGGTCAGATTCCAGGGTAGAAATCCTGGAGATCACTAAGAAGTGGGTTTCACAGAGATCAAACCACCAACAGGTGGCTATTGCTACCTCCTGGTTTTCATAGATACCTTCTCAGGATGGGCAGAGGCCTATGCTACTCAGCAGTGGGAGACTGCCACTGTGGTGACAAAGAAACTTCTTCAGGAATTCATTCCCAGGTTTGGACTGCCAGTATCCAATGGATCTGACAATGGCCCCACATTTGTAGCCTCTATAACTCAGTCAGTAGGGCTCAGGGTATAAATTGGAAACTCCACTGTGCCTACTGACCACAAAGATCGGGGCAAGTGGAACAGATGAATTGGACCCTAAAATCTACTCATCCTGCTGTGAGTTCTTCCTCAAGTTTATGTGTACAGAAGACCTCAGGGATGGGATTTTACAGCACTCCCAGGACCATACAGACAGAAGTGAGCAGCCCCCGCAGTCATTCCAATTTTGTTGGGATTGGGGGTAGCTGGCTCTGCAGCACTTGGAACTGCTGCAATGGCTAGAGGAACTCTCAGCCTTAGTGGCACAGGTAGACACCGACCTCGGAAGCCTGCAATATGCTGTTGAGACTTCACTCCCAAGAAGAGTCACTAGCTGAGATGGTCCTCCAGAACTGAAGGGGGCTTGATCTACTGCTCTTGTCACAAGGAGGATTATGTGCTGCTCTAGGGGAGGAATGTTGTTTCTATGCCAACAAGTCTGGCATAACCCATGATTCTCTTGAAAAGGTCAAGGTAAATCTAAATAGATGTCAGAAGGAGAAGGAAAAAAACTCATGGTATCATAACCTGTTCAGCTGGAGCCCTTGGGTAACTCCCCTCATCACTGGACTGGCTGGTCCCCTCATCATGCTTTTTCTTGGGCTCTTGATTGGCCTTTGTATTCTTAGTTGGATAACGAAGTTCATAGCCTATGTTAAACTGATGTATATGAGATCCTACTACAAATCCTTGCATAACCCCCTGCCTAATCAAGAGGCTCTCACTGAATCAATGCTTTGACATCATGCTTAGAGGAGTTGAGAATGTTATAGACAGCCCGACTCCACCTTGTGCCTCAGTGCCATTTTGTGCCCATGCTTGAACAAAGTGCTTGCAACTTGAACAAAGCATCCAAAACCTCCCACATTCTGCTTGGCAGTAAACTTACTGCAGTTGCAGGATGTTTTGTAGCTCATCCAGTGTGTGTGAAACTTCTTTGTGGCCCCCCGACTAACCTGGCATGGTTCTGCTTCTGTAAGATTCTGCTTGCTCTCCCCTGAGCTCTCCCCAACTGAAAGCATGATTTAAAAGGAGAAATCAAACTGCTTCCCATTGCTGAGGAAACTTCTGGGTGCTAGCCCCCCTCGGCTGCCCACTATAACAGAGGGCTGGAATCTGGCACAGAGTGTGGTGCATCTCTGTTGTTCAAACTTGCTTGTCCATAACACAGCTTTTTGAGAAGGACAAAGAGATCCCTGTGTTCCCACCCAGGTCCTAGAAGTTCTGGGGCAGAATGACTTAGTAGTGGCCAGCTAAGGGGCTGGAGTGGCTCTCGGGGACAAGCCTAACGTCCATGAAAGAACACTGAGGGCTCTCCCTCTGTGGCCAGGACTTTTTGAAGCTCCCTCCCCACCCTGATTCTTTCCTGCTCTGGGCCAAGACGTTTTCTTCTGGGGAAGAGCTGGTTGGCCCCTGCCTTACACTCACGTGAAACAGCTAGAGCAGCGGTGGCTCAGTCATGCAGGCTGCGCCTGAGCAGATAGCAGTTGGGGGTACGTCATGGCCAAGGGCATCAGTCCCTGCCAAAGAAGAGAGGAGAAGGTCAGTGTGAGCTGTTTGTAGAGGACTGGCTGGAGCTGGAGCAGGCACTGGTTGTGACTCTAGAGGGGGCTTCTTTGCTTCTTGTCCTGTCTGGTTGCTTTGGCCTGTAAGGCTCCCAGTCTAAGAACCTGGGGAGAGAACTTGTAAGGTCACATCTGATCCCATCCTCATCTCCTTCCCTCGGTGCTGCTGTTTGGAACCTTGCCTAATGCAGTAGCTGCAGCAGCAGCATTCTGGCCAAGAGCAGAGGCTCAGCGGGGAAGGGAGCCCATCTGCCTCTTCACACGCCCCTAAAGAGCTCAGATCATCCTTGGCTGCCTTCATGACTGGCCCCATGTATCTCTTTCCCATACTCTTCTTCACTGATCCCTTAGCCTGTTAGTTTCTTCCAGTGCTCTGAGTCACACACTCCTTTAGCTGATGTCCTGACTTCCTTCAGGCCAGACAAGCCAACTGGAGTCAGCTGAGTAAGTTCAGGTTGACTCGCTCATACAAGGGGAGGCAGGACCCACTGAGACATCTAGGAAGCTAATGTCAGCTAATTATGGGGTCTCTTTACTGTCCCCTCAATATCCATCCACTATTATTTAGAAGACAGTCTGGGCTGTACATGGGGTTGGAAGGAGAAGCATGTGATGTGGCAGTTGTCCTGAGAAGACCCCGGCTGTTTGTATAGGGGAGGGGACCTGCTCACTGACCACAGCCACTGAGCCACCTTCTGAAAGGACAGAGTTGAGGTTCTCTGCCTCAGTCAAAGCTAGAGGTCAAAGGACAGACATTAGTGCCTCAAGGATTAGCATGCATCTCAGTGCAGGTCTCAGATGCAGAGCTCAGGACAGGTTGTAAAGGAAGCAGGTAATATATATCATCTGGTCCTGTCAGCATATTCACCTTCCTTCTCCATTTGGGCCTTTATCTGTCTCCTGGCTCCTGCCTCCTGTGCTCCGAGTACCCAGGCGCCCTCTTCTCAAAAATGCTGTCACTCTCACTGAACTGTAGTCCTGGGTGTCTGGAGGTTAGAGCAGAGCTCTTCCTGTCCAGGTTATGAGGTTCCAAAAGTTAGAAGTCGGAAGACTAAAGAGAATTTAGGACAGGTCCTTCATCCCCAGAGCTATGTGCAAACTGCACATTTGGAATGTTAAGAACATCTGTTTCAGGATTTCCCTCCCCCATAAAATACAGGCGGGCAAATAATTTGGCGAGCAAGATTTCCTTGGTGAGAGCTGTTGCTGAGCTGTGGATCCCTTCCTCTAACCCTGAAGGAAGGAAAGGGCATGGGCTGACATGGGCTGTCTCAAGTACCATGCAGTGGCACAACAGTGAGAAGCTGGAGGTGGCCCCCAGATGCTGTGGGGTTGAGTAAGAGGTTACAAGGGATGGTGTGCTTCAGAAGAGAATTTCAGAAGATGTCCCCTACCCAAATTCACAAAAGCAAGACCTCGTTTAATTTCCTCCCAGATGTCTAACCAATAAGAAGCCACAATTACCTGGAAGGAAGTGGAACAGTTTTGAGGTTTCAGGGGTGGACGAGAAAAGCAAATACAAACAGCAAAGGAATGCATGTGGCTCACCTCCCAGGCACTGCCAGCCTGAACCAGATCCAAGGTGGGGGAAAGGAGAAGAGCGACACTGCCAGACTGGGTGTGCATCGATCACTAGTCATTATTAGGACTCTAATTTCTGAGTTAAGACTGCACGTATAATTTAACTATAAGAGTAACTATCATCTAAGAGTAAATTTGAAACGAGACAAAACAGCACGGCTGACTGAAATTTTTTTGTATGGCAGGGGAAGATTTCTTTGATTGAACATATTTTGAAGTGAAGGGATAGTTGGGGGGAAAAGGTTGTTTCTAAAGCACAAACCACGCGACGTACTTCCTTAACGTATCAGTTACTCATAGAAAAAAGTGATCCATGGAAATGGACTCTACAATATCTGGCCTAATACCTTTATTTTCTTATTGGAGAGGATAAGTGACTTGCTGATCAAACACAGCAAGGCAGAGGTGAAGCTGGAGAGGCACTGGGAGAGCAGTGTCCTGAGCCCAGGGTACAAAGAAAGGCATACGTAATGCCTCTAAAATGTCTCCTGCTATTTCACCAGGAACTAAGGCGTCCCCTGAAGTAGGGTCTCTCAAACTGATTTGATGGGAAGAGTCACCTGAACCACGAGTTAAAGAGCAGAGACTGAAGATTTCCTGAGGCAGCACCTACAGCAGTGGAACTCAGGAATCTGTATTGTTAATAGGCTTGCACTTTACCATCTGGCCCTTTTGGGAAATGATGCCAAAAGGAAGGTCTTTAGGAGGATTCAGTCTCTAGGCAGCAAGGGTAGCACTGGGGAATGATGGTGAGCTTGTAGAGCCTGTTGCATCATCTGCTGCCCAGGACAAGAACTCTGGGTTCTGTGTCCTTGGAGCAAATGGGCCAGAGTCAGGAGGAAGTGGAAGTCTGAGAAGAGCCTAAGGCACATTAGCCTGGAGGGCTAGGGCCAAAAAAGGGGTCAGGATGGGAGGACCTTATAGGTTGTTTTCTAACAGAGGCTGGGAAGGGACTTTAAAAGCCACCTTGATGGAACATTTCCTACTCTATTAGGATAGGAGTCCTCTGTTCCCTCTGGAGGCACCCAGCCCTCAGAGGCTTCAAACTCTCAGCAGTTAGAGTCACCTCACCTCACTGCCTGGGTGAATTCTGACAGGACATGCTGGCTGCCGCTGGTAGCACATGTAATTAAGGATCGCTGCCCGCTGCTCTTCGCTCAGCCCCCTTAGGAACACGAGTTAATTGAGGAGAGCCTAAGCACAGGCCAATCTCAAGTTTTTTCGGGTGCAATTAAACTTTCTCCAATTGTTTATTAATGTGTGAAATTGACACACCAGGTTAGCAGCTCCCAAGAAGAAGAACCTTTTCCTTCATACCTATCGTCCTGGCTGCAATCCTCAGGCAAGTCTGGTAGAGGGTAATAAAAGTATCTCTATACTTTGATTTTAATTGTGCCCATTACCCTGCCTCCCAGGATAGGAAGAGATGGTCACTGAGGTGAGTGCCCTAGAGGGGCATCCATAGTAGCACACAGGTGTGCGTTGCTCGAGGAAAGAGCTTCTCTAAGAAGTACAAGGCTTTCTCACAAGTCATCAAGATTCAAAGACATCAATGTAATAATGGGCTATGGTCAGGAAGTTTACAAAAGGGGCTATCCCAAAGGCTAACAAGAAAACCGTAAGAAAAGTAGCTGAGTAGGATCATCGGGTGAGGTCTCCCCACAGACACACCAACGCAAACACCTATTATGCCTTCACAAAGTACCTTTGCAGGAGCTAAGGAAATCAGGTGAGAGACCAAGTACCTATTTTTAGTGTTCAGTGGACCCTCAAGTTACAACTGGCCTGACATATGAACAATTTGGGTTACAACTGGCATTTTAGTTTTAACTTTTACGAAGTCTTGAGTTACAACCAAAATGCTGGCTGCTTGTTCTTCCAGATGGTCTCAGATACAGATTTAATCCATAAAGAGTTCTGGAAGGAATATTGCAACATCCTTTCCTGTTTGGGGTCAACTGGGAAATCCTGGGCCAGCATCTCTCTAAGGACCCTGAGATTGAAGCGGATCTGCCTATATACAGGAGAGAGACTTTGAAGGCTGTGTAGAGGACCTTGAGCCTTCAACTGACCAACTTGAGTTACAACCAGCCCTCAAGAATGAGTTGAGTTCATAAGTCAAGGGTCCACTGTAATACTAAAATGAAAAAGGAAGAAAAAAGAAGAAACATATGGAAGATGGCAGGAAGGAAAGAGGTGCCTGTTCCCCGCTTCCCTCAGCCCCAAGGCAGAGAGACACCTCCCACTTGGGGAAGGAAAAGGGAATTAAGGCCAGGCTTTAGACTTGCAGCCCAGTACCAGGCCCACCACTGTGCAACTCAGTGCTGGGCAGATTCCATGACTACTACCGAATGGGGAATGTGTTTCTCTGCAGTTCAAGTCAAACTTACTGGTGAAAAAGTTTTGCCCCGTTCCCTCAACGTGTCTGAGCTTCCGGACACTTCCGCTCAGGAATTTTCTTTGTTCTCAGTTTTATGACTTCTATCTCCCCACCAAATGTGAGTGGGATGTGGCTCTGTGCACCGAGCCTGCTGTCTGTAATATCTGATAACCAGTGAATGTGCTGGGCTCAAATGACTTGTGCTCTTCTTAACCAATTCAAACCGCTTAACCCCCATCCCAAGAGTATAACCTGCCCTGCTTGACCCCAAGGGTGGGGTAGTTTCTCTGTGAAGTTCCAGACTGACCTGCTGGTGTTTAGAATAAAACTGTATACTTTGCCTCCAAAATTTCCCGGTGCATCTTCCATTCTCCTGGACTACCTGTCTGTATGTTCTAGCTGACAATTTGCCGCTTCACTAACCACCAGACCAGTACCTGGGGAACTGAGTTGCTGGAACCATGATGTTAGGCCTGTGGCTGACAGCCTCCATCTCTTGTCCTCCAACCTCTGCAAGCAGAGCAGGTAACAAGACTCTACCTGCTGGGGACAGGGCAGGAAAGCTAGCACAGGGCTTAGTCATGGAGCCCACTGCTAGACCCAGCATTCAGTAGAAATGGAAGGCCCCATGCACACACAGGCCAGGGCTCACAGGTGAAGCCTGTAGAATGGCTTCAGCATCACACAGAGACCTACGTGCGGCAGAACAGACTCAAGTTTCTGCAGTGTCATTTGTAGCCTTAGAGTAGCCTCAGGGCACACCGCCTCCTTTCAGTCCAGACTGACCAGGATACTGTGGCTATGAGACTTGGGCGTGACCCAGTAACCTAGCTTAGTGCAAGCCTTAGGGACCAAGGGAATGTCTCTACCATTCATCTCCTAACCTTGGGCAACACAGTTATTGCCAGGCCAGTGCTTGCAAATGAAGCTTTAGACTTGCCCCAGTGTTAGGTAGGGACCCACATCCTAGAGATAAACTCTGTTTCAGTCTGCA